TGAATGGTTTTGCTGTATATGGCACTTAAAAAAACAACAACCCATTTTCAACTTTGTCCCCATTTTCATCACATGACGCACCAGTTTGCATTAGGCCAAGGCCCTACTTCTAAAAGTTGCAACAATAGCGACATATTGCAAGCTGCAGCAATCGTAAAAGTCAACTGAAGTCTACAGATATTATTTTCCCCCCAGATTTCGTTTGCTTGCTGAGATCATGGTTAAATTTAGTAAAGAGCAGAAAGCTTTTTGTACGGAACATTACCTCTTCCTAAACTCACCATCCCTGACATTTCGTAAGTTCTGCGCACGGCATGGAAAGAATGATTAGGTGCTCTCAAGACCATTTGTGTCATGAGTACAGAAGTTCCGTCAGTTTGGATCTAGAGCGAATCAGAACTAAAGATTTCCTTATAAAGGACAGTTCAGGTCGAACACGCACCATGCGCAGCCTTTTAAACGTCACCAGGGTGCAGATTTCGGTAGTCGAGGACTTTCCTACACCTCAACAGTCTGCATTCTCATAGCAGATCTTAACCTACGACAGTACGATTTTTATCTTCGTTAGGCTGAGATGACATGGATCAGGGCATGGCAATGTGTTCATGGTTCCTCGATTGAAAAGCGGGATTATTTCCTCGATGACATTTGGTTTTGTGCAAACCCCATTTTCACCCTGCGTGATATGTTAAATCAAAAAATTCTGTCTATTGGGCACCCCACTCCCTATTGTCTCAAGAAGCCACTTCATACTGAACATGTACAGTGTATGTGGCTTTAAATACTCGTGGTTTAGCAGGTTCTTGTGTTTGGGCTCGATTGAACATTTCTATCGACGAGTTAAAAATGTGTCGAGACCAAAAGAGGGCATGTAGAGTACTGCTTCTATGAACTCCAGAAGGAAATCGTTAGTCTTTTAAACGAAATAAAAGAAATTAAACGTTGTTTAAATGTTACAGGGATTGAAAATTTAACATCAAAGAGAAAAAAATAAAATAAAAGTCAACCAATCTTTTCACGACTTCCTTTATAAGATTAAAAAACAAAACTGGTGACCTTTGCGTTTTGGGGTGCTTTTTGTCTTTGAGCCATTTCCGTTTTTAAAACAAGTTTCTTCTTCTTGGATTACAGGTCAAACACTTTCCTTTTGAAAGAATTATGTCTGTTCCAAATAACAGCATTCTAGAACAAGTTTTGTGCGAGATATTCAAAATAAAAGTTGTACAGTTTTTTGGGATCACCCTTTATGCCATGCCAAAATCCACGCGCTTTAACTAAGGGACCATTCGCTAATGACGTCAGCTAAATTTAGCCAAAAATGACCCCTCCCCCCTCTCCCCTTGTCATCTTCCGTCATCTTTCCCGTCTTGTTAGTTGTCGGTCTTGGGTGTAAATCTTTTTTTTAATAAGTGTTTTACGGCGCTTGCAACTGCAAAAGGTCACATGAGCGCTCGGGACACATTAATTTAGTTGGTAGGAAATTTTAGAACTTTGCCCGGATGGCGGCCGAAGCCTACTCTTATCGATTTTGGACCACCAAGGGATCTTAAACGTGCCCAATTTGCACACAGTACCTCCAAGATCTTTCGCCTTTGTCCGAGAAGGCTAGGTGTAGATCTTTCCTACCATAAGATCAGGGGTGTGGCTGAAAGACTGCAGTAAGGAGGGGGAAAGGAGAAGCAGTAGAGAGGCTGCAGAAAGAGCCAGGAGCCCAGGAGGGGGCAAAGGAGGTAAGGGGTGCGGGCAAAAAGTGGAGATGAAAGCAAAAGACAGAACATTGTTGGAGAGC